ATCCACTGTTATCCATGTCCAATGTGCAACTCTAGGCATCTGGAACACCTTCTCCAGAACATCTAGTAGACATGTCATTCTTCAGAGCATATTACATTTATTGGTAAAGGATTTTAATGTGATAAGTGAACAAGGATCTTCATAACTTTGTGTTTCTAATAATGAAATATTCCATTCTTAGTTTCCTTCCACTGTTTAGAGAGTTGGAGTGGGACAAAGTATAAGGACAATGACATTTTCCTTATTGATTTTAGAAAGAGTAAGAGAGAGAGAGGAGCAACAATTCATTGTTCCACTTATTAATGTATTCATTAGTTGATTCTTTTTAGTTGATTTTTAGAGAGAGAAAAAAATACCAATTTGTTGTTCGATTTATTTATGCATTCATTGGTTGTTTCTTGTATGTGCCCTGACTGGGTATCACAACCTTGGCATATCAGGACAATGCTCTAACCAACTAAGCTACCTGGCCAGGGAAAGACAATGAAGTTTTTAAGAAAGGGGCAAAGCCTTGCCAACTCATGATCCAATGTCCCAGTAAAATGTGTTGCCCAATTACTAAATAGATAAGTTGGAACATCCTACATAGAGAATATGAAACTCTTAAGATAGGACATAAGAATTGACCCATTTGTTTGCAGAGTTAAAGATGGAGCATAAATTGGTTATGTCCTCTTGAAAATGTGCTATTTTAGTGTTTAATATTATCGTCAATTTGTCCCGGCTGTGAGGGATTGTTTTCAGAATAAGTGTGGTCAACAGTCCATTTGAGGTTTTATCATGTGCTACCAGACAGCTTTCCTGGCTTGACCAGACTTATCCTCAGGGATCTTACAGCTTAATCACCCTCCCCTCCTAGAGAGGGGCCAAGATAGAAGCCTACACATGTGGGGGTTACATTGCAGGAAAGGAACACTGAGCTTAGAAAACTCACCTTTTATATCAAGCAGTAATCAAGCCTCTTCTTTGTCTCAGGAGAATACATCAAGGTACTAACACAAACCTAATAAACACCCATAAAACAGTTGTCAGGGACTTGCTAAGTTATAAAGCCAGTACATCCTAATTTCTCCCAAATGTCTTAACAAGATGTCATAGACACCCTAAGTTTAACAATTTTAACCTTTCTAAAATTAAACAGATTATTTTTTTCCATATTTGCTTCTTTCTCTACTTTCCTATTTACCAAGGTACCTACTAATTCTCAACATTTTCCTCATTCATCAGGTCACCAGGTACTTTGTAGTTCCACCTCTTAAGTACCTCATATGTTTTGTACACCACTGACTTGGTATGGACCCTCATCATGAAAAGGTAGAAGACAAACAGGCTCTTGCAGGAGACTCCAATGTGGCGTCCCTGCCTCTGGTTTTACTTGCCTCCAAACCAATTATCTAAAATTCAGAATTATTCATTTAACTCTTCTGCACACTGTTCATTAGTTAAAACTTCCAAATAAAATCCACACTTCCTGTTATGATCTGCATACTTCTCTTGCTCCATCTACTGACATTTCCTATAAGCTTTCTTATAGACCTTTTTTGAGAATTGCTTGCTAGCCTCTGAGTAGGTAGGTATATGATATATGTTTTCGGCATAAATACTTACTGAGTGGCTGAAAGTAAAAACAGGCTTTGCTTAAATGCAGCAAGGATTTGGTTAGGAGGTTATTTAGTTCCATATTTTCTCCATGTACAGTATTTTCTTCACCTTACTAGTCATGATGATGGAGCTCTTTTGACAAACACTGGAAGATACTTTAGATTCACAGGCACTAGGTACAAACATGGAAAGAGAGAACACAGAGTAGATGCTAATATCTACTTTGTGCTTTGTAGACTACCCCAAATTCACAACTTACCCAAAATTATAATTTTCTTGTTCAGCCTGTTTATAAATACAGACAAGTCAAATTAACTTGATTTTCCTAAGGAACCCATGATTAATGAGTCACCAAAACACCCCTCCCCTTTATTTGAGAATGGGAAAATACAAAAGCACAGCCCACCACATGGCTATCTAAAAATCACTATCCTGTCTTCTAGCCCTTAAAACATACCAAATTGACTTTAGATTTCATCTCAGGCAAAATGTATGACATAAGCATTCACCATCTCATTAACTCTGTGACTTTGTCAGCTAGTCTGAGTTTTACATTATTACCAAGGCAGACTTGGGCTCCAGGACATGTAGCCAGTAACTTTTTTGGGTAATCACAAGTTGGTTCACTTCACTAAATGATGTTATAGACCCATGTCTCTAGTTAGTATGCTTGGACCCACCTTTGACTATAATGGAAATGATAGTTCCCCTTTTGGAGATTCTTGAGGCCAATTTATAATCTGCAGGCACTCTTTGGAGCCTGCCTGATCAGCTTCATTACGTACAATACCACATCCCAGCATAGTCCCTCTCCCTCGTGGAGGAGTCAGAAAAACACCTTCATCTCCACCCTGAACATAACTCACAGCAGTACCCAAAGGCTGAAGCATCTGCCAAGCCTCAGTCTCTGTCAGGCCTCCTGTACTGTTGTGGAACCTTGCAAAGAGGTGTGTCTACCCCACAGCCACTGATGATGCCCACATGAGATCACACCACTGGTAGTCCGGAGAGCACACGCTACAATGGTCAATCTTAACTTTTACCTCTTTCTTATCTTTCCATCCTCTTTTGCCTAACCCTAAAACATCATCAAAGCAGCAATCATTGGTAGGCCACATCAGCTCCTTGTAGACATCATTATTCTGTAGCATTTCTTGGGACCTGCTCTGAGTCCCCCTTTCTTTTTGACTCCAGCTTTGGATGTGGGGACAGGTACCTAAGAGCACTCCAGTGGCCTCAGTCTGTTCCTCCCTTGCCACTTCCTACTGGCTCTTGATGTGCTGCCAATTCTTTGGTCCATTTCCCACCCTAAACCTGGATCCTCAATTGTGTGAGGGCCGCAGGACACCACTTAATTTTGCCAATTAATGTGGGCATGTTGTCTGCTAAACTCTTTTCAGTAATTTCATTTGCCCCAATTATCACCCAGGCAGTGATCGGATACTTTCTTGGAGATACTATTTCCACTCAGCCCTAGGGTTCATTATTGTTATTTTTTGTAAGTGATATAATCATTACTCAAGTTAATATTTTTTCATCCCCTTTCCTCCTAAACCTCTGCTGGGAGATCTTTACAGAGCCCAGAGCCATGTCCCTATGGAACCTATTTTTCCTTAGGGTATACCATTAAGAGAACTTAGCAAGCTCCTTGAACCCACTAGCCCAGGGAGATGAAGTATCTACACATCCTTCTTTGCTCTGGTGGACACAGTCTAATCAGAAAACACCATGTGAACTTCACCACAGAAGGAATTCCTATTTGCTTCCATCTAACCCTCTCTATAAAATATTCTACTCCCATCTACATAACCTTTGGATTTTTTGGTTTTGAAGTTCTTGAGTGTGTTTCAGCTGAGGCTGGTTTGCAAGACCCTTTTTGGAAGTATGAGTATAATGACATGTCCAGTCGGCTCCAGACTTTTCTTAGGCCATTCCTCAAACCTTTTCTGACCTCAGTCCTGATGGACACGCACCTATCATCAGCCTCAGGCCTCGGTTGGTACCCTCTAGTCAACCAAAACCTTTCTTCTGATCTATCATCGTAACACTGTGGATCCCCCAGTTTTTCACCTTACCTATCTTCACTTGTCATTCAGACTTGACCATTCATTCTTCAGGTTAAGTGTAACCTTTAGAGGACCCTCCAAAATGTAAACTAAATGTTGCTTTACCAACTGCAATTTTTCAGGAGAAACTTCTTTTCTGACAATTTCTAATTATCCCTGATTTACAAAGTAGAAGATCATGGGTTAAAGTCAGCTCATAGATCTATTTTTATTGGTATGCACAAAGGGCTTTTTTTCTTCTCTTTTTTATTTGAATGCCTTCTGATGGGACTTTTGTTCTCTACATGCTCAATATTACTCTCATCTGTCCCCTGTATTCCTTTACATGGCCAATTTTGTTAATTTTTAGTAACTAGCTAGATATCCTATAACTGGTCCCAGCCCTGGTACCACCTGCCAACCATTTGCCCATCCTTTCTAAGTTCTCCTTTACCCCTACCTATCTACCCTCTGTCCTCTGGCAGGTTCCCCACCATCTATTGGAAACATTATCCTTAATTCTTCGTTCAACATGTTAATTCTTCATTGAGACCTATCAGGAAGAAATTTCCCCCCAACAAGATTCAACTACCCTAATGATTTCGCTACCCCATATATGCAGGCTTCTGATCATTAAATTTGACTTTCTGTTACATCACTGTTGCTTCCGTTTTGAGTTCTTATATCAAGTCTGGAAGCATATGAGTTAAATCTTTATCTCTGGTTATAAATTTTAAAAAAAACTATAGAAAGTACTAAAAATGGCCCATCCACAATGTTTCATGTGTTACTGGTTTGTTGTATAACTCTTCATGTTCAATTTCCAAAGAAAATAATTTCCTAACCTTTGCTTTATCTACTGTTTGCAGTTGTGCATAAGGATATATACCTACTCCACTTAAACACTCCTAACAACTCTATCTTACCTTCCCAATAGGCCCTGTTTCCCCCAACACACAATTTACTAGCATAGTATTATAAATCAGCCTGTGTATGCTTTTCAGAAAAATTTTTCATATTTAAAATAAAACATGTTAAAGTAACTATAATCAAATGCAGAGTTTGCTAACGGTTTATCAGAATATGGACAAAAACCTAAGATAATTTGCACCAGATTTGCCACTTTTGCAGAGAATTATTTGGTTTGCTGGGAGCTGTACCCAGGAGACTAAGTTTTAGAATTATATATATTCTACTTTTGGGCAAACAGATCAATTACTTATAAAAGTTGATCTTCAGTTATAAATGTAAGTGATGACCTCTTTTTTTGAGTTTAAGAGACCTGGTAGCTTTTATTGAAATGCACAGAATCTACATAAATACCTATCTGTTGTTTATTTTTTAACTTTATAGGAAATCAATGTGTTGACAGTTGCATTAGTCAACCAAGACCGAGAGAACAATATTGAAAAAAGAAGTCAAGGCTTAAAATCAGAAAAAGAAGCTCTACTTATTGGTAAGGAAATTCTGTTCTCCTCATCTGTTCTGTTAAGTTATTCTTAGGTGATTCATTTAAATATTTAATTAATTCACCTGCAACTTGTTAACAATTTAAACAGCTTTGGCTTCTGGTCAAAGGTAAGATGAACCTTGTCAAGATTATATTATGTACATTTCAAATTAGGAGTGTACAAATCAATGAGGGTTTTGTTCTTCTGTAACCATGTTTATTAGTTTGTCCAATATAAAACTGAGTACAAGAATATAGATTAATTTGAATCTCATATGTTACAAATCTGAATGTCAAAATTTGAACACATCACTTGCAACTAGAGGCCAAGGTGGGTCCAATCCAAAAGTCCCAAACCAAGCCAAATCTCCAGGCTCAAGAGACGCCACAACCTGAGGCCAGACCTGTAATGCTTTTGGGAGGAAGGAATAAACTTTCTTCTACCCTCAAGCTTCTGGCTGGTCAAATAATCAAGTAGACATGAGACAAATTAGCAAGAGAAAGTAATCAAATTTAACACATGCATATATATGGGAATCCTACGTACATAAGAGAATCAGAGAGAGGAGTTGGGGTGGTAGATTGTTCTGTATGTCATTAAACCAATCTCAGACTTGAGAAAAGTTCAGTTCAGATAAAAGTTGTGTCATATTTCAGACAGAAGTGATGCACGTGGGCTCCCAAAGTTAAGCCTAGGGTGTAAGCAATAAGAGGCATTTCTGTGGAAACAAAAGAAAAACAAAGGTTAATGTTTGGAGCAGACTATCTCAGTTTCTAAGTTCTGAAAGCAGGCAATCAAGTTGTCTAAATGTTTGTCTCGAATCATCTTCATATGGAGTAAAGGCAGGCTGTGACAGTCTGATAGAGTGTCCTGGTCTGCAGTTTGAATGTCCCTGGTGATTGTTCCGCAGCAGAAACAAAGATTGTCCATAGATGAGCTATTGTAGTGATTTCTCTGAGGTCTACATCAAGTTGTCCCACTTTAGCTTGTATGGCCTTGGGAAACAAGCAGTTTTAGTTCACAATGACGCCGAGTCAATGGATGGGAAAACGAAAATGTTACTTTGGATGGCTACAGCCGAATATTTACAAAAACTAGAAAAATTTTGGACCCAATTCAGTTTATAGTCAAAAATTTTTTTAAACTGAAAACACAATGAACAGCACTAGAACCTAATATCCATAAAGGTATATTATAGTTTCTATTGAAACAATTTTCTCCCTAAAATGACCCTTACTTTTATCAAAGATAGCCAAACTAAGACTAAGTTATTTGCAAAATATGTCATTTCAATAAACTTGGCCTGATTATTTACATAAGTCCTGCAAGAATAATAATCAACCACATAGGATCTTTTAATTCTGCTTTGGTGGAATTTTTCATAAGGAGTATTCAGGCTGAGGTTTTAAAGTTCTATTGAGGCTAAGAAGCCAAGCTGCATAGTTGCCGTAAGATTTTGTCTGCAGTACCTATAGATTTGGGTTAATTTCTCTCTACAGAAATTCTCCAATATATCCTTAGGATCCTTCTTTCTTTCCATCTCCCAATAAGCAACCTTCATATCTTACCTAAAAAAACTACTGTGAACCAAGGCAATCAAGATAACAGGCTGTTTTTTCCAAGGAATTTCCTTAATTCCTTAAAGCTTTCTGGTCATACCTGAGCTCATACATTTCTCTCTCAAACATGACATTCTAGTCAAAGCCTTGTAATATATTTAGTTTTCAGTTATGTCCTATTATAAAAGGAACAGATTCTTATTGAAGTTATAAACATAAACATATCTATGAAAATAAAATTACACAATTATTGAGAGTTTCCAAAGTCTGGAGGGATTAATTAGAAAAATTAATACATGTTTCAATACTACTTCAAAGGTGTAAAGAAGAAAAATTTCTTGTATCTGGAAAACAAGATTTAAAAATCATCAATACTTCAAATAAAAAGTCACAAAATTATAACCCTTCTCATCAGTTCATTCAGTCCTGTGGAACTGAACTTGGTTTTTAGGAATCCAGTTTTCCCATTAGCTCTCTAAATCTCACCTGATAATTGAGGTTAATACAGTCAGTGATAATTCCAAGAAGTTTCCAGGGTTGTCCATGAAGGCTCACATGTTTTGCTCAGTGAACTGAGTACCTTGATCACTAGAAATTTTGGAAAGTATATGCCAAGTGAGAAAACATCTTTTCTAATAATTTCTTCACCACTGTGAGGCCATCAGCCTTGTTGCAGAGGAAAACTTTAACTCAAATAGGAAAACATACACACAACAAGAACATATTGTTAACACACACAAAGTGGCAATTGAATGAAATCTAGCTCAAATGTACTATAGTGAATGAAGGAATGCGAAAACTGAAAAAAATGCCAGGGAGCCAGGAAGAACCAAGCAGTCCTTGGTTTCCCATAGCCCCAATTATTCATTTAATTTATAGTCATTTTTCACCCATCTTAATTCCTCTGATTCAGGAGCAGACAGTTACCATGTTACAAGGACATCAGGATGGCAAAGTCTGGCAATAAGGGGTCATTTTCGCAAAAAAAAGAATAGACTTCATCCACATGTGCCACAATCTGATATTGAGGTTCAGTTGTTTAGTGTGTCCCTCAATTTTGATGACAGACATTTTAAGTAAGGATATCTCAGATTTCCAGCAATTTTATGTATATTATGGAACATTTATAACATGTTCTTAAATAAATACAACATAAAGAAGACTCAGTGTTATTTTTGTATTTGATAATGCCTCCTGTGTAATTTCAATACACAAAAATAAGCCCAATTAGTTTAATATTTCTCTTCTATAAGAAGAGAAAACCAATCTTTTGAGGTGTTCCACAGGCCTTTTGGGAACATCTCCAAGTTATTCATTCCCAAGTCAAGACTCTTATTTGAAATTTAAATTTTTGGAATTTTGTCAAAATATATCAAGAGATTTGGACAGTTGACTAAACAGGATCATAGTCATTATGAAGCAATATGTAATTATCCATTTAACCAAAGTGGCAATGAAAGATTTCAAAGAAGATATTAAGTTTATATAATTGTTAGAAAAACTTAATTTTTACTGTTGAGGAGATTGTTTTTATGAGTAATCAAGGACCTGATTAAGACAATATAAAACAAATTATTTTGATAAAACTCACAATCTTTACTCTCTAGGCAGAAAATTTTTTTATACTATCAGTAGCAGACCAATAGTCCTTTTAGCAGAGATAGAAAACCAAATTCTAATTTTGCTTCACCTTTCTTTTGATATTTAAATCCATTTACTGGATTAAATTTCAGTCTTATTCAGCTTGACCATAAATAAAATTTCCTTTCTTAAGATTCCTTTTTCATAAGCTTTCCATAACTTTTTTCGAAAACTTTGTGTGTCCCTCTTAGTACACACACCCAGTCAGAAATAATAGGGACAAAATTACTTCACTTCCCTTAATAAAAACATATCTATATGACCAGCAACACTGAAAGGAAAAGAAATCAACAGAGACAAGAGGGAAGGAGGGGGCAGGGAAAGGGAAGGGAAGGGGAAAGTCAAGGAACATATAGCAAGGACTCATGGACAAAACCAAAGGGGAAGAGCTGAGGGAGGGAAGGTGGGAGGGGGCAAGGGAAAGAGGTGGTAGGGAGGCAGAGACAAATGTATTTAAAAAGTAAATAAATTTTAAAAAGTTAAAAAAATAAAAATAAAAATAAAAAAATAAAAACATATCTATATAACTCACATGTTTTTCTAAAAGCCAAAACATATTATATTTCTCTTGTATACAGTTCTTTTCCTTATTATTTTTAATTTCTATAGCTTTAATTACATATATTTGAATTCATAACCTTAAGAAAACTTAATTTCTAGTGAGAAACCAAAAAGTAAATAATTGTGAACTATTATACCAATATTCTTTAGATTGATACATTTATAAACACAATGACTTCTAAAAATATATTTTTTAAATATATTTCCTTATAGCACATTTTTCAATGTGGCACAAGACATATTTACTAATGGACCCAAAAATCTTTAACAGCTCATTAATAAGTAGATAAACCTATGTTCAGAAGTTAATGTTTCATTATTTTATCTTATTTAGAAATGGTATAGAAATTCAATTAATACCCATCATCTAATTCAGCTAGTAAAAGTTGAAAGATTCAAGTTACCAAAGAGGTTTAGGAAACAACTTTTAACCATATAGTTATTGCTAGAGTTCGGCTAAAAATGTTTTATCCTACTTGCATTTATTTAATTTACTTGTTCCTAACAATTAAGGTTAGAACACTAATGAAAATTTCATCATACCAAGTTTCTTGATGACAAATTTTGCAACATAGATAACATGTACTAAATTTAATAAACCCAGGGAGAACAAATATATGATTTAAAGCTAATGAGTCTAAAGATATGCGTATTTATCCAAACCATACTCAGAAGCCAACTTTCTTTTTTAATTATATTTTATTGATTATGCTATTACCATTATCCCAATTTTTCCCCCTTTTCCCCCTTCCACCAAGTCCCTCTTGTTCTCTCAGGCAATCCAAAGACCTTTTTTCATGTTCATGGGTCATTTCTATAAGTTCTCAGGCTACTCCATTTCCTATACAATACTTTATATCCTCATGGCTATTCTGTAACTACCTATTTGTACTTCTTAATCCCCTCACCTCTTCACACATTCCCCCACAATCCCCTCCCATCTGGCAATCATCAAAATGCTCCCCATAATCATCATGCTGTCTCTGTTCTTCTTGTTTGCTTAGTTTGTTTTTTTAATTCAAATCTTGGTAGATACGTATTTATTGCTATTTTACTGTTCATAGTTTTGATCTTCTTTTTCTTAAATAAGTCCCTTTAACATTTCATATAATGTTGGTTTGGTGATGATGAACTCCTTTAGATTTTTCTTGTCTGGGAAGCTTTTTATCTGCCCTTCAATTCTAAATGACAGCTTTGCTGGGTAGAGCAATCTTGGCTGTAGGTCCCTGCTTTTCATGACTTTG